ACTGTGCAGCTCTGCAACTGCATCCTGGCCCATCCTCACCCTTCTGCCCCCAACCCTCACCTCCTTGTACCCCCAATATGTTTTTCCCAATAAAAAAATATTAAATAAAAAAAAAGAGTTCATTAAATCTTTGAACTTGAGATTAGTTTTTGTTTCTACTAAACAGGAACAAAAAACTGTTCTTTTACCACAGGAGTGTGTTTATAGTAAAGAAATATAATTAAGTTTAATGGATTTTTGGTATTCCACAAAATTACAGATTAATATATCTTTTTCTTTCTGTATTTTCTCTTTGCAGGATAAAGTTATTTTAGGAACTGATTATCCCTTTCCACTGGGTGAGCTGGAGCCAGGGAAACTGATAGAATCAATGGAAGAATTTGATGAACAAACAAAGGTACATGCCTTTTACTTCCTGTTATTTTTCCTACTTTAATTGAGTTTGTTTCTAGAGTACTTTGATGGGTGGTCACGACAGAAGGGAGGCTGGAGATAGAATGACAGAATTTTGCACAATCAGTGAGTTATTCATTGCAAATACCTATTAAAGAAGCACAAATGACAGCTATACACCTCACCTGATGGTCTACATAGTAATCAGATTGATTGCATGTATGGAAAGAATTGTTAGGGAACCTTGATATTAGCTGTGAAAACTAGGCCAGGCACTGATTGTGGAATCAGCTACTCATATGTAAGTTCAAACTAAGCTAAAGAAAATGAAAACAAATCCACAAGAATGAAAATTCAACCTTGAGTCTATCTCACCTGAATTTAAAAACCATGTCAGGAACAGATGAGCTGTGGGAAGATATAAAAAATACCATCCATGAAGAATGCAAAAGGTCATTACAGAGGAGGAAGAAAAGACAGAGGGGATATTGGAAAAGACTCTCAATATTGCCCTTGAGTGCCATGATGCCAAAGCAAGGAGGAAAACAAGGAAGTTAAGGAGCTGAACTGAACAAGATTTCAAAGGGCAGCACAGGAAGACAAAGCAAAGTATTATAACAAAATATGCAAGGAGCTGGAATTAGAAAATCAAAAGTGACTAACTCCTTTGGCATTACTTAAGCTGAAGGAACTGAAGAACAAATTCAAACCTCAAATTGCAATAGTTAAGGATGCAATGGGAAGAAAATAGAATGATCCAGGAAACATCAAAAGACTATGGAAGGAGTATACAGAGACACCATGCTAAAAAGAATTGGCTGATAGAGAAGAATTTCATGAAACAACATATGATCGGGGCAATGGTGATGAGGGAGGAAGTTCAAGTTGCTCTGAAGAAATTAGCAAAAACAAAGCCCCAGGAATAGATAGAATACCAACTGGCATATTTCCACCAACAGATGCTGCCCTTGCCAAGCTCACCAGGCTGTGCCAAGCAATCTGGAGGAAAGCTACCTGACCAAATCCATTTTTTAAAAAAAGATGATCCAACAGAGTGTGGAAATTTTTGAACAATATTACTAATATCACACATAAGTAAAATCTTACTGAAGATTATCCAAAAATGACTGGAATAGCACATTGACAGAGAGCTACCAGAAATACAAGCTGGATTTTTAAAAGGCCTCAGCACTAGGGACATCACAGGTGAGGTTCACTAGGTCTTGACTGAGAGCAGAGTACCATAAGAATAGTGAGAAAAGATCTTCAC